GGTGCTGGGGGATTGAACCGCGGTCCCTGTGCTTTGCTTAGCTTAGCTTGTTCTAAGTAGGTGCTTTAGACCACTGAGCCATCTCACCAGCCCTGGTCCTTTACTTCCTAAGGTAAATATAAGTGTATGTTTTTGTTTGAAACTACAAGTGAAATAATACTCAGGTTATAAAATTTAATTCATAATAATAAATGAGGCCTGTAAAACCGATGGAATTGGTTAAGGTCACAGGGATGATTTCCCCTTCCTTGTTGGCATAGCAACACTGCCCTAACTATAAATCTCAGCATTAAAGATCCTTCTCTGAAATGAAATAGTCACTGTGAGACTTGTAATTGGAAAATTAATGGTATAATCTGGACTACTCCCTTTGGAAATAATGTGTATGGAAAGTGGTAGAGTAGTGGTCTTAAAGCATTCTGGTTGGGAATTGCTCCCTTCAAGGAAGTTGAGGCAGTTCTCGTTAATTTTTTAGTTTGTGCTGCTGCAGGAGCACTGTAGGGTTACAGAGATTCCTGGGACTATTTATTTTTTCTTTTTTTAAAGCAAAGGTAAACCAGTGCCAGAATTCTCTAATGCCGAGGATGCCTCAGGCTGTGTACTCTCTTCCTGCACTTCAGTTGAGCATCATAACTCCCAGACATGGCCTTGGCAACCTCTGCCAGATACTGAGTTAGCATCATCCCAGCCTCGGCAGTGCCTTCGCACTGAACTGTAACACAAACTTGGGGCAAAACCCTGCCCTTGATTACCCTACCTGAGCGAGCTTTTCCTGTGCTAGGACGGAGATTCTTCACATCAGCTTTCTTGATACCTTCCTGGGTAAGAAACTAGGCACCTTGTCTTTAGAACCTAAGTTCTATTTCTTCATTTTCTTAAAATTTATGCCTGGTTTTTATTAATTGAGAAAATAAGAAATGTATTTCGATAACCTTTAAATACCTAGGAAAGATGGTTGTTTACTTATTTATTTTTTGGTGGAACCGGGGTTTTGAACTCAGGCCCTTGTGCTTGCCAGGCAAGCTCTTATTCTATGGAGCCATTTCCCCGGCCCCGGCAAGACAGTTACTATACAGTATATATGCTACCCTAAAGTTGAGGAGATGGTGTAGTATTGTAAGAGCTCGGATTGTGCCATGAAGGTTAGGTACATTAAACCTTGGATGACAGTATGAGAGTGCCTTGTCCTGTATTTTGTAACTTCATGCAGAAGTTGTTCTTGAATTAAAAGGATTTTTTTTTGGTTTGCTTAGCCTGCCTTAAGGGCAGATCTGGTAAAGCAGGTGGAGGTGGGGTTTGAACCTTGGTATGCATGAGCAGGCGCTTAAACAAAACTGAGCTAACCAACAGGCCCCTGTTCTTGAATTAGGAGGATTTCTAATATTTAATACATTTTTCTATTGAGGATTTAACGTTAGAATCCTGAGTTGTTAATTGGATGCGAATAATATTAATATTACTAATGAGTACTTTCTACCTTTTTGTTGTGTTTTCTTTTTTGCTGGGACGTAGACAAGCCCTGCTGAAGTAGTGGGAAGAGCGCTAGGGGTGGGTGCGTGGCTGGGGTGGGTGTATGCACTCTCCTTGCGGAGCTCACTCTGCACAGCGGGGGCTTCCCTGGCTCTCACCTGTGATTGGAGTGTGCTTAGTGCGTCTGTTTGGAAGATGCCAGCCTCCTCCAGGGGCGAAGCAAGCCGGCTGGGACGGGAACCACAGTGCTTGGCTCTCGCCGAGGCTCCACTGTACGTACTAAGACAAGAAGCAGACTAGAATTCTGGGCAACTTTGAGCAGTTTGTTACAGGCAGAACCGAGTGGTAGGTTATATTTAGGTGTCCTTTTGTTTCTCCCTGGCAGTGATAGGACATGGAAGGGGTTTAGGTTGGTACTTTGGAGAAGTAATGCTCATGAAATGACAGACTTCATGTTGGCGTTCAGATGTGGGAGAGTAGTGAGTAGTACGCCATCCGTGCATAGCTTTGCAACAGCTTGTACCTAAACAGACTATTGGATGGCTTTGCTAAAATACCTCTAACCGTGTCCTTATCTCTTTTTAAAAAGAAACTTTTGCTGTTGTGAATACTTTGATTTGTATTTTTTTTTAATGTTGAATTTATTTTATTTTTTAAAAAATTCTATTTATTTATGTGTGTGTGTGTGTGTGTGTGTGTGTGTGGCCAGCTCAGCCCACCAGAGGGCGGGGCTGGCTGGCATGTGGTGCTGGGGGATTGAACCGCGGTCTGTGTGCTTTGCTAAGCTTGTTCTAAGTAGGTGCTTTAGACCACTGAGCCATCTCACCAGCCCCGATTTGTATTCTTTATAGGTACATGTTGGACACACCATGGTTGTAGTTTGAGAAGACATTTTAGTACCCTTGCTGGGCGGAGGTACACAGATTTTTAGGGTTTTTTTTTTTAAATGTACATTGACTGGTAAGTTGAGAGCAGTGCTGTCCAGGAGAGTCCTGCTCCGGAGCAGCGCTGCCTACTGGGGTAGGGGTTCGGGCGGTGGTGTGAATGCCCTGTAGCTGTGCTTTCCTGCATTAGCTGTGCAACGTGTATATCTTAGACTTCTAAATTGTGACTGATGCAACCAAGAAACTGAGTTGTTAGGTTTTTGGTGAATTAATTTAGGTTTAAGTTTAATCATATGTGACTAGTGGCTATGAATTAAAAAGTGCAGGTGTAGATGGTTTAAATCAGGTTATATTTACACTAGCAATACAGGAATATCTGTTCCCTGTGTCCTTGCAACAGCAATATCCTTTGTTTTCATAAAATCTTGGCATAGATGCTTTTACTTTTTTTCTGTTTAAGGTTTCTTTCTGTGATATATAGTATTTAGGACATTTAGGACAGAGTCTGCAGGTCTGTAAGGTCTCACTGCGTAGATCAGACTCGTAGTGGTCCACCAGTGTTCAGCTTCCCTAGTGCTGGGGTTACAGGCGTGCGCCACCATGCCCAGTCGCAGTGACTGTCTCAGCGCCCCCGACAGGCAGGGCCAGCACGGCACACCAGGGGTCAAGCCCTAGCCACTGTGTTCTGCCTAAGCAGGTACTTTAGTCTGTTGAGCTATCAGGCCAGCCCTCTGTGTTATATTATTAAGTCAAGTTGAGAACCTGTGGGCGGTAGTTGTTTTTCTTTTTTAAATGTATTCAGTACAGTGTTTACAGGGTCTCACTAGACACGTTGGATTCCTAGTGCTCCTCCTGTTTTCGGCCTTCCAAGCACTGGGATTACAGGTCCGCGCCACCACGCCCAGTCTCAATTGCTGTCTCAGCACACACTGGGGGTGGGGCCGGCACTGCATGCTAGGGATCGAACCCCTGTCCTGCGTCTGCCTAAGCAGGAGCTGTAATTTTTTTTTTTTTTTTTTTTTTTTCTAGTCGAGGGAAACTTTATTCAGGCCCCGAGGCTGCAGGCGTTGGGCAGGTGGTGCCCTTCTGGACGAGGGGCTGGCTGAGCTTTATTTGACCTTCTTCTTGGGGCGCAGGTTGTTGGTGTGGCCACACTTCTTCTTGCGGCAGTTGACAGCACGGGGGTGCAGGCGGGCATAGCACTTGCGGCAGATCATCTTGTCACAGTTGTACTTCTGGGCAAGCTGGCGCAGGGATGGCGCCATGATCCCACCTCGCAGGCGAAGCACCAGGTGCAGGGCGGACTCTTTTTGGATGTTGTAGTCAGAAAGGGTCCGCCCATCCTCCAGTTGTTTGCTGGCAAATATCAGACGCTGCTGGTCAGGTGGGATGCCCTCCTTGTCTTGGATTTTGGCTTTGACATTCTCGATGGTGTCACTGGGCTCAACCTCAAGGGTGATGGTCTTGCCCGTCAGGGTCTTCACAAAAATCTGCATGTCTGCGTCTGCCACTCAGCCACCTCGTTGAAGAGAAAGAGTGACCAGGAGCTGTAATTTGGATAATTGTTTTTTAATGGGTTGTGTGGCTGCTTTTGCCTACCTACTCAGTAAGGCATTCACCTTTTTCTTGCTTCTGATTTTTAAACACTAGCATTAGTAATGTTTGTCTGATCTTGCACACTTTCCCTTGGTGATTTTTAAAAACTTTTGCTTATTTTCAGATTATTATAAAGAGCAAAAGTACTTCTGATAAATAGTGCAAGCATTTTCAAAAAAACTTAATGTTACAGTAGTTGAGACAGGTTCAGGGGTGAGGAATGGGAGGAAAAGAGACTGGAATGACAGAGAAAACATTTGTCTTAGCCCAGTTACAGATGGGGCACACTGGCACTGGGCTAGGAGCAGAGCGAAGGGTGCCAGGGAAGGAGGGAGCCGCAGACACAGGAAGGAAGGAGGGCGGAGTGGGGCAGTGAACGTTGCCTGCATGTGGGGAGCAGGACTATGTGTTGGAAGCCAGTGATTCTCCAACAGCTTGATGTGTCAGAGCGTCCCCAGCTTCTTAAACCACAGTTGGCCCTGTCTCAACTCTGCTCTGGGTCTGCAGTGACCAGGTTGGAATCACTCACTGTGCGGAGTCTGGGTGTAGCTTTCTTTGCTGTCAGATACTCAACACTGGCGTTAGGGGGAAGCAGCACAGCGGGAACATAAACTAGGGTCCACTCCTAGGTAAATCTGAAGTTAGGTTCTGGCTTTAGTAAAGACCATTTGCTGGGTCCCTGTGGAGATCCTCTGATTCTCTTGGAGCCTGGGTTTCTTGTGTAAAATAAAAATGATAGTACCCTCTGGCTATAAAGAGCAGGTGGGATGTGAATACGTTCGAGTGCTCTGGGGAGTTCTGTGCCAGGGTGCACCTGAAGCCAGGGCTTGGGGCAGAGACCCTCCTGGTGTAGTGGTGATGGTGGGTTAAACAATAAGTGGGCAGAATAGCGTACTTGTTAGTGGGGTAAGGTACACCACCAGGTAGAGACCAGTCTGCCCACTGCCCACAACACTTTCCTACAAATGGTCTAAAGTTGTGAAAACATAATAAGAAAATTCAGATGCATTGAACAGCATCTCTTGAATATCCTATCTCGTTTTGTATGTTGGCATGATGACATAGTTTTCCATGCATAGATTGTACCAACCTTATTTTATATCTTTTTTTTTTTTTAATCTTCCAGATGAACGGGACAAAGTTCAAAAGAAAACGTTTACAAAATGGATAAATCAGCATCTCATGAAGGTCAGTGTTTATTTCTATTACATCTTGGAATTGTTAGTGTTTTTTTTCTTCGGTGCCGGGGATTGAACTCAGTACCCTGCGCTTGCCAGGCAGGCACTACATCTCGGAATTGTTTTGCTTGTTTCACTGTATTGAACAGTAGTTGATTATATACCTTTGACAAATACTCTTTAAATGTCAACTTGGGGCCCTGGGAGATAGCTCAGTAGAATAAGCACTTGCCTGGTAAGCTCAGGGTCTGAGTTTAGTCCCCTGTACTGCCCACCCCCCCAAAAAAATCAACTTGAAAGTTGAAATTTGTAGAAGGTTCTGCATGCATCTTAGGCATCTACAGTCACTCGGTGTGTGGCTTGTGGGTAATGATGGAGGTGGGAAGGCAAGCACCCTCTGATTACAGTGTGTTCTGTGACATTAGTACAGCCTGCTATTACTGGACTCAAAAATTCAGAACTTTAAGAAATGGGTAAATATTTATATGTCAGAGCATGGAAAAATTACAGGTCTAGTAAGATTTTTTTCTCTCTCTGAAGATTCAAATTCTTGAGCATGAGAAATAAGGTGATAAAAATGAAAGAGCAATTGAAGAATAAGGAAAGAAAGGGAATAAAGTCATTCAGGTAAAATCTAAGGCTAGACATAATTGTGCACACCTGCAATTCCAGCACTCAGGGATGTACTGAATGAAGCAAGTTCAAGCCCAACAAGGGCAGCTTAGTGACTTAAGGAGACCCTGTTGAATGAGAGGGAGGGATGGGGGAAGGAAGGGGAAGGAGGGAAAAAGGGAGGAGGGAGAGAGGGGGAGGAGGAGAGGGGGAGGGGGAGAGGGAAAGAGGGAAGGAGGGAGAGAGGGAGAGCGGGAGAGTGGGTGACGGGGAGAGAGACAGAGGATCCCGAGCACCACAATAAGTAGAACAGAGTAAAATAAGGTCTGCATACTTTTGTGTATGTTCTCTGCCTTGTAAATGTTGACTGAAATTTTAAGTGGCCCTTAAGGCAAGAGGAAGAAGAGAGAAAGATTAAAGAAAGAAGAAAGAAAGCAGGGAATAAGGCTTAGGGGAGAGGGGCTGCCCTAAGCCTTCTGCAGCAAGGTGCCCATCCCTGGCTTGTGGGTGTGTTGTGGGGGTCACTGTCTACCCTGAGAGTGTTGACTCAGGCAGGGGGTGGGGTCTTCAGTCTTTTAGATAATTCTTAAAAATTCTGTCTTTTCTAAATTTTTATTTTATTTTGTTAATTTTCATTTAATGTTGTTGACCTGCTCATTAGCTCAGTGGTTTAAGTGCCTGCTTAAGCAAAACAGTCAGGCTCAGGATGCTGTGGTTCGAGCCCCAGATCCTCATACCTTACCAGACCTGCCCTTAAGGCACCCTGAGCCAGCCAAAAAACACAATCCATCATTTAGTGTTGTTGAATTCTCTCACCCTGATCTGTCTTAACCTGCTGTGACTCCAGGGGAACAGCTCTGTCCTGTTGGGCAGTGAGGGCCCGGAGCAGTTGTGCCTTTCCTACAGACCTTTCTTTACAGCATTTTGCTTTCTGTTCTGGAGCGTCATCTGTCTTCTAACTGGGTCCCGGGCCCTGGGCGGTTGTGGTCTGTGCAGCTGTTCCGTGGCTGGTCCCCCTCGGCGTGATTCTGTCGGGTCAGTGGGTGAGAGCTACGCGACGGTGAGACAGGCTCGCCTTGCTTGTGCAGTTACTGTGCATCACTGTGGGGAAGCAGCTTTCCAGAAGGAATTACTTTATTTTATTTTTATTTGTATTTATTTATTGGTACAGGGTCTCGCTGTGCAGCTTGGACTCAGTGCTTCTCCTGTGTCAGCCTCTCCCGTGCTGGGGTTCCAGGTGTGCATCACCATGCCCAGTTTTAGGGCCAGCACGCTGGGGCTCGAACTCGGGTCCAGGCAGGCAGTCGCTTAGACCACCAAGCTAACTTCCCAGCCCAGGATTTTAAAAATACACCTTTAATATAACTTACGAATTGCATTTTTTAAAGTAAACAGACTGGTTTATTTAGACTAACGTCTGTTGGTAAGCAGACGCCTTTTGACTTTTTCCAAACATACTGAAGCTGTAAGGGTTCTGAATTTCACCACGTCTGCCCTCAGGCTGGTGCCGGTGAGTGTGCAGCATGTTTTCCTTTTGACTCACCTTCCTTTAAGGTACTTTCAGCTCACATATTGCTGTCTGCTGCCTTTCCACACACTCAGGGTATTTATGTCGGGAGCCATGGTTTCTAGGTAAACTGTTGGCCGGAACATTTATCATCATTCTTTAGCACAACTTAAAGTGGTAGTGCTAGATTCTCAAAGTATTATACAGAAAAAGAAAGTAACCAGGGCTGTCAGACTAGAGAATGAAAAGGGATCAGTGTAGGAAAGAACAAAGTCGTCTGCAATGACGTGATCTGCGCCTTGCAAGGCCCAAAACTTTCCATTAAAAGACTCCTAGAATTCCATGGAAGAATTCCACTGAAAGGCTCCTAGCAAGATGCAGAGTCCCATGAAAATCAATAGCATTTGTAAGTGAACTCGCTGAGAAAGAAATTAGGAAAATAATACCTTTCACTGTAGCATCAAGAAAAATGAAATACTTTTGAAGTTAAACTAACCAAGGAAGTGAAAGATTATAAAAAATTAGATTGCTTTTAATTAATTGTTTACTTGGACCTAGGATTAGAACTTTGAGCTATGACTTAGATACTGTCCTCAGGAGGAATAATTTCAGGCCCCGAATGACTGTGAGAGCAGGCGAGCCCAGGAAGTCCCTCTAGTGTGCTTCCCTGTGGAGGGCCCATCTGACATTTTACAGTGCAGTTATATTCCTTAGCATTGATAAGCTCTGGTATAAATTTATCTGTGACGCCGTGTAGTAGGATATTTCTGCCTTCCTCTAAATTTTAATTTATTGGTACATGAATGCCTTGCAGAGACAGAAGCCTGGAATTCCGTGTTGGGCCACACCCTGTTTGATGGTTAGTGACTTGCTGGGTGACTGCCTGGGAGGTATTCTGTGACTGTGTTACATTTTTGTGTCTGTTCCATGATGCTTTTGGAAAGGTTAAGTTAATGATGGGAATACCTTTTGCTATCACAGTAAAGTGAATGACTTCACAACTCCGTGGATCAGCCATGTTATTCTTATTTTCTGATTTGGTGGCTGGAGAGAAAATGGGAATTCCCAGGCTGAGGGCAAACTGTGGTAGCTTTTAATGAAAAGATAAAAAGATCTGTTTGCTCTATGTGCCTGGCTAATTGGATAATTTTAAATTGTGGCCACAGATAAAGATAGGGGGAGTTTTAAATTATTGACTTATGAAAGTAGAATGTGATATTTTTGACTCTTAATATTTTTGTCTAATTGCTTTCTCTCTAGGACCTTAAATTTATACCACTGGTTCCTAACCTTAGTTGTATCAGAGTCAGTTAGAGGGCTTATTAAAACAGACTTTTGCATCTCGCCCCAGGAACTTCTGATTCACTAGATCTGGAATGGGGCCTGAAAAATGGTATTTCTAACAAGTTAGAGATGCTTTCATTTCTCATGAATTTGATGCTCTCAAGTTGGGGCACACTATGAGAACTCTCAGAACAGATAAATGTATCAATATGTAAATAACCAGCAGTTTCATTTGGCATATCCAAATTCATTTTTATTTTTATTTTTATGTATTTGGTTGTTGCAGGTCTCACATGTAGCCTGGAGTGGCCAGCTCACCCTGCCCTG